GGGGGGGGGGGGGGGGGGGGAGTTAGGAAAGAAGTCAGAAGCGTGAGAGAGGAATGGAGCTACCTTGCTGATTTAAAGTAGGTTTGAGCTTTGGGAGAAGTAATTTGATATTGTAAATAGTAATTTATTCATATTTGTAACTCATTGTCATACTATATTGATTCACTCTGAAGATGTCTTAAGTTAAAGACGAAAGTTAGTACTTCTTAAATAAATTTTATGTCTATATTCTTGTCTATATGGCTCTTTTGCGTACGTTATGCTGGGCATTAATTCTTATATTACGATTACGATTCCCGCCTGGTTCATCACTTGCAAGTAATCTTGGTATGTTTTACAGCAGCAAAGGCGTGGGGCAGATGTTCTTATATTCTATGACATTCTACTTGTACTAATATACAATCTTCCCCGGAATGACACATTGTAACATTCTCAAAAGAGTGGATTAAGATTAAATTATAGGTTAGCACAATCACGTAATAATTTGGGACACATAACTTGGAACATCATGTGTCCCATGAGATCGTCAACATTTCCAAATCCTGCTCTTCTTCTTAGTTTTGTTGCATTTCCCAACTGCCACCATGAACATTATATTGCGTCCAACAAAACCGATTCTGGAGCCTTAATAAACCTTCTGGTTTTTCTGTACTTTATACTTGGCAACAGAAATCCTTTCTTCTAATAAATACTTTATTACAATATCTAAAAGTATAACAGTAATATGAATGTCAGGGAAGTCAGGCCCATATATATTCTTCTTTCGCCAAAAGGAGAAAGGCAGGAGAGGAGAATTGTGCTAAAGGGGCAGAATATACCCATTCGCATGTTGGAAATTGAAGTCATTTTGTTTTATTTTGGCACCAGAGAGTGAAAGAAATGGCATTTTCAAGGCTTAATTTTTCACATTTTCCGTTGATTCCCCCCTAGATTTCAGTCTCTCTGACTTTAAATATGCTCTTATATTCCACTGCCTCTGTGGTCGCTGTGTTGCCTTTCAATAAAAGTACCGTCTGCTGACTCTGCTCCCGTTTCTTGTATAATTTGGTTAAGGGTGGCATCTCTCATTATCAAATTTTGTTGCATTTGTTTCGTCTACTTTTTCCTTGGTTGATTTTTCTATGTTACACGTCACTTCTCCCGTAAGCAGATCTTGATTGTACTGTAGTTATCTTCAAAACCTGGTAGTTTTTGCATAATTCATTTCAGCTAGCTGCTTTGGGGCATTGAGGGATTGAGTAGAGTTTTCTCCAGAATGGATTCAAGGCAAGAAGTTTGTGATCTGATCTGACTAGCACTTTCTGCCATACACATAGATCCTCTTGAAAACGTTCTATAACACTATGAGCAGTGCATATTAATCAGTTCTTGATGCATAACGTACGCTACAGGATTTTACCCGTGAGTGTCCACTGTCCAGGTTTTGGGTCTCACAGGTGTGTAGTGTCTGTGACGTCACAGTCACGTGAGGAACACGAGGAGAGACAGAGTAGTGTTTAGAGAGAGAGTATTGTAATAAATGAGCGAGAGAATAAATCCTTAAAGTTTGATAATATAAACACTATAATTGGCGACGAGGTAAAGTAAAAGTATCGACGTTGGTTGATTTTCATACGAAATGGCTAAGGTCCTTGATTTACCGGCTATTCCACCCTTTTCTGTGTCTGAAACGAGTTCGTTGGCACAACGTTGGGACAAATGGACGAACTCGCTCGATTACTACATTCGTGCTTTCGGGCATCTCCGATCAAAAGCAAAAGCGGGCCATTCTACTTCATTTAGCGGGTGCAGAAGTGCAAGAAATCTTCGAGACGTTGCCTGATACTGGCGAGGATTACAAACAGCGCTGGAGAAATTGAATGCACATTTCAACCCGTGTAAAAACATAGCTTTCGAACGTCATGTTTTCAGACAAGCAACCCAACGTGCCGACGAGTCCATGGATGCTTTTGTAACTCGCTTGAGAACTCTTGCAAAAACGTGCCAGTTCGATACAAGTTTAGATGAAATGATCCGTGACCAAGTCATTGAAAAGTGTGCTTCGAACGCTCTTCGGCGTCGCCTACTACGAGAACAAGAACTAACATTGAACAATTTATTATCGATTGCTCGTTCATTCGAACTGGCCGATCGCCAGGCCTTAGAAATCGAACAAAAGTTTGAATCATCCACTCACCTCAATTCCATCGAACGAAATAGAGATTTTCAACAACCACGGCGTAATTCTGCGAAGCGTGAAGACAATAAGGCCAATGGAACTGTGGATTCTGTTTACCGTCCACCGCCCGCATGTGCTTGCAACTACCGCAAGAATTTTTCATTATTCTTAATTATTTTCATTATTTGTCATTATTTTTAATTCTACGCATCGAAACTTTCAAATATACATCAAATCATCAAATCTTCGATATAAAAAGCCGCACATTGCTGATGTATGATGGATCAGTCGGCATTTGTTCGGTACACTCGGAAATTCGCGAGTCTGACATGTGCAAATTCGAAAACAATGGCGTAACAAAGAAATTTTCAGCAAAGGAAAGCCCAAAAATGATAAAAGAATGCTGGACAAAAGTGTTGATGGTCGAGATCAAAAGAAAACGATTTAAGGATCATTTTTGGTCGGAAAATAGATAATAACAAAAATAATGAAAAATGAATAATGAAAAAAAACCGCATCAGATTTTTAAAATTCTAGGACGGTAAACAGAATCTACAGTTCCATTGGCCTAATAGGCAAAAATGTGTTTGTTATTGTTGTGGCAACGAAGGGCACCGTGCGAAGGATGTCCAATGTCCTGCCCTTGACAAAACCTGCCGACGTTGTGGCAAGTCCGGTCATTTTGCTAGGGTCTGTCGCCAAAAGACCAACAAACCGAAGCAATACAAGGAGAATGCTCGACAGCTTGAACAGTCTGACGATGACTCTTCTGAGAACGAATGTTTATTTACTCTCACGGCTCATAATGTGCATCATCGCTCGGACAGCCTTCATATGTTGGAAATTGAACACATTCCAGTGCAAATGCTTATTGACTCGGGGGCTAGTGTTAACGTCCTTGATCTCGAGACATATCATCGTCTAAAAGCGCGAAAAGGAGTCCAGTTAATGCCTTCTACCCTTCGTGTTTACGCATACGGTTCTACGACCCCACTTAATATCCTGGGAACAGTCTCCGGTCGGGTAAAATGCAACTGTGCAGAAATCGTGGCCAAGTTCGTAGTGGTACACGACCAACACGCTGGTTGTCTTCTCGGGCGACAAACTGCCACTCAACTGGGACTTTTGCGGGTTGGACCTCAAGTTTCGTCCATCAATTGTGCAGTATCTCCCTATTCCCTTCGCCAACGGTATCCCAGTGTCTTTGACGGAGTAGGAAAACTCACCAATTACCAGCAAAAAATTTCCATCAACACCAACATCAAACCTGTTGCTCAGCCCCCACGTCGAATTCCCTTCCACGTTCGCAAGCAAGTTTCCGCCAAACTTGAAGAACTCGAAAGGCTGGATATAATCGAGGAGGTCCGTGGCCCAACACCCTGGGTCTCACCCTTGGTGGTCGTACCAAAATCTAGTGGTGAAATCCGTGTCTGCGTAGACATGCGCCAGCGAATCCACCAGTCAGTCGTCTCGGGTAACTGGCCGAAAACTAAAGAAACAGATCCCTATTTTTGCGTTAAAAATGAACTGACAGCGACAGAGTCCTTACTTCTTCGTGGCTCGCGTATCGTGGTTCCAGCCAGTCTACAACCTACCACCCTACAACTGGCACACGAAGGCCACCAAGAGATTGTTCGAACAAAACAGCTCTTGCGAGAGAAAGTCTGGTGGCCTGGGATCGACAAAGACGTTGAACACTTGATTCGTTCCTGTATTTCCTGTCAGGCCCAGTCCTCCCAGTCACGCCCACAGCCACTTACCATGACAGAAATGCCTTCACGTCCGTGGACCGTCTTGCATGCTGATCTATGTGGTCCTTTCCCTAGTGGTGAGTCGCTTCTGGTTTTAGTTGATTCATGTTCTCGATGGCCAGAAGTTTTCATTTTAAAGAGCACAACTGCAGCAGTCATCATCAATCGCATGAAATCGTGCTTCGCTGTGCATGGTCTCCCAGAAGCAATCGTTACAGACAATGGACCTCAATTTGTGGCTGAAGAGTTTGATTTGTATCTTCGAGAGCACGGCATCACACACCGTCGAGTAACACCTTATTGGCCACAAGCCAATTCCGAAGTCGAACGGTTTAACCGCACACTCGAGAAGGCCATTCGCGCTGCAAATACCGAAGGAAAAGATTGGAAAAGCGAGCTCAACACCTTCCTACTCAATTACCGAGCAACAGCTCATTGCACTACTGGCAAATCACCCGCTGTTCTCTTGTTTGGTCGAGAGATACGCACCAAGCTCCCGTCGTTGAACACTAGCCGTTCGCCAGCTTCAACGTCACCTGTTGTAGACCCCGCCATTCTAGAGCGTGATCGTTGTCAGAAAGCAAAGATGAAGAAGTATGCGGATAAGAAAAGACGTGCAGCACCTTCCAACATAAAGAGGGGTGACAAAGTTCTTTTGACGCAAGAACGAAAGAATAAGTTATCCACAAAATATGACCCAGACCCATATATAGTGGTAGGAACGAAAGGCACAAGTT